ATTATTATAAATTTCATATATTTTAACTTTATCTTTATACCATCAATTTTTTTCTTCTTTAAGTAATAATAATAAAAAATAATTTGAAGCTCACACAACGCACAATACATACAATACGGTTATAATACGAGTATAATAAAATGTCTGGTTTACTCGTTGAACTACTACAAGAAATACTAAAATATATAGAAGACGACATTTCTTCGATCTTTTCATGTCTTCTAGTGGATCGATTTTGGTGTCGTCAAGCTGTTCGAGTGTTGTGGAAGAGACCTTTTACATTCCTGAAATATGACAGAGATGCCATTGCAATTATCACTACTTGGTTGGCGTGCTTGAGTGAGGAAGATAAACGTCTTCTAATAGAAAAAGATGTCCCGCTGCAATTAACGGCATCCACAACTTTATTCAATTATCCAATGTTTTTGCAAGAATTAAATTTCGGACTTTTGGACGATGCAGTTGGAAAATGGGTTAATGCTTGTGCGTCTTCTGCTCTTTCCAGACGACGAGATATGGTTAATAAATGGCGAATTACAACTAGTCTATGCAGGTTTATTTTTCTACATGCCGAAACTCTCACAACTATCAATATCACGAAATTTCAAGATACGACAGATGTCCCGAATTTCACTAAATTTCCAAGAGCTTTCTCAATAATTCCTCAGCTTAAAGAAATTGGATTCTGGGGAACAAAAGAAGCAATCACATTAGGTGATTTGGCAAATATTAGAAATTTTCTACTTGGTGTCCATGTTCATAATCCACCGCTCTCATGTCTTCATATTCGAAATGATCTCGTAGATGTGGAGACACAAAAACTTATTTCGAGCATAGTTGAATCGCAACATGGACTATCAGAGTTCAAATTCAAAGGAAGTTGTGATTATTCTAATGTGTCTTTATTAAAATTATCATCTGATAAACTTTCGAAATTAGAATTTTATCGAATCGATTTAAATAAATCAGTTGTGGAAGCTTTTTCCGCTTGTCCAAATCTCACCAGTTTGACGTTTATTTCGTGCACGAATTGTTCAAACGAAATGTGGGGGCCGGTTCTGAATTCGACACTTCAACTTCGGCAACTTTATTTCCATCAACCAAATCGAAATAGCGGCAATACTGATATGGCACCATTGATACAAGCGGCAGGTGAGAATTTGGAATTTTTAGTGCTTGGACAAGATTACTCAACTTCTGTGTTCGAAGCAATACAAGAATGCTGTCCAAACATAACGGCACTATCAATAACACAAACAAAAGATAGTGTCTCGACAATTTTCCCAGCTATAGCAAGTTGCAAAAATCTTTGCCAATTATCGTTACGAGTCGAACATTGGGAAGGATTCGCCAGTGATGTGATTCTAAATGATCTTGCAAATTCAATTCCATCTGAGCTTGTTGCTCTAAATCTGGATCTCCCCATAACGCCCGAACAATTATCTACATTTCTGATGAATATCAAATCACCGCTTGCAAGACTTGGTCTCGTCAATAAACGGACATTAACAGATGAACATCTTTCTGTGATCACACAATTTGCAAAGACACGAGGTACACTAAAGAAAATTGGATTTGGCGGACTCTACAAATTATGGTTTCAGTTCAATCAAGAAAAAGTGCTCGAGGCAAAAAAATATGTGGATTTTGTTCAAAATATTTGGTTTGATATGTACGCAGAAAGGCTGGAGGCGGAATTTAAGGTTAATTATTTTCAACTTTATCAAAGTTATGTTATCTTTCATATATATATATTGATAATTTGATTTTTTTTTTTAATTTTAAA